ATTTGGATTTGGCAAGTATATGGTATAGAATTCTTATTGGAAGAATTTGTTTTGTTTTGGGGTGAAGCAGAAAAAAATAGCTTTGTTGCTTTGTGAAGCAAAGGGGGACACAGTGGGATTGTGCCTCTCAAAACTGTGTGTCCCAACCTGGAAAGAACTGGTGAGGAGTTTTATTCTGGCCTCAAGTGGTCTCCTGATCTTCTCTGTAGAATACTTCATCAAGGGTGTTCTATCTTCCACTTGTTCTGGAAAGATTTTTTTAAAAGCCAAAACCTAGGTAAAGGAGTGGATGCAGATGTTGTGCAGCCCAAGAAATAACTGTAATATAGATCACTATATAGTTTCATATATATAATATACAGGCATATATCCTTTTATTGTTTTTTTTAAAATGCTCTTTGCAGACACTGAGTTTTTTCACAAATTGAAAGTTTGTAGTTAAGCAGATATACTGGCACCATTTTTCCAACTTTTGAATAAGGTGTATATAGTTTCTTAGACATAATGTTAGTACACACCTAACAGACTATAGCATAGTGTAAACACAAGTTCTGTATGCTCTAGGAAACTAAAAAGTGCATGTGACTTGCTTTTTGGTGATATTCATTTTATTGTTGTAGTCTGAAATCAAACACGCAGTATCTCTGAGATGTAGGATGTGTGTGTGTGTGTATATTTTTAAAACTACTAGCATCTAGGGACTTCCCTGGCAGTCTCCTGGGTTGTACTGCAGGGACACATGTTCAATCCCTAGTCAAGGGACTAAGATCCTGCACGCCTCATGGTGTGCCAAAAAAAAAAAAAAAAAAATGAACTACTAGCATCCAAAGCCTTCTAATCTGGAGGGCATCTCCCAGTATGTGGGTCTTTATGGAAGGCAAAGTCTATTACCCAGAGTTGGAAAAATCAAATGTCCCTATCCAGGGTTTTGAATCTTCATGGGATATTCCAAAGGCAAGAATGTTCCAAAGGAATGGGCAGCTAGCAGCCAATTTGGTAGTGGTGACCTGGGCAGCAGATTCCTAACCAGACCCTTCCTGCAGCACAAGCTTGGCCATCATCCAGCCTTCTCGGACCTTCCCCAATTTCTGAGTATCTTTCCCTAGCCTTCTAGTTAATTCTATGAAAGTGTTAGTTGTTCAGTCGTGTCTCTTTTTGACCCAGTGGACTATAGCTTGCCAGGCCTCTCTATCTGTGTAATTCTCTAGGTGAGAGTACTGGAGTGGGTTGCCATTTCCTCTTCCAGGGATCCTCCCAACCCAGGGATCAAACCCAGATCTCCTGCACTGCATGCAGATTCTTTACCGTCTGAGCCACCAGGGAAGCCCTATAAATTCCTTTCTGTTTAAGCATTTGCCCATCAAACCTTGACTAGTGTAGTAAGTTTGAAAAGACATAAAAAGCTATGACTGTCAAAAGCAGTCTCTCTCAAATTAAGGATCTTGTCAAAAATGCCGATTTTTGAGTAGAGTTACCTGTACACCTGAAACTAACAGTGTAAATCAACTATATGCCAATAAATATTAAAAAATTGAAAGTAAATAAATACAATAAAAATAAATTTAAATGATAACTTTTTTAAATGCCAATTTTTATTTCAGAGGTTTAGGTAGGGCTTGAGATTCCAAGTTCTAACAAGCTCCCAGATGATGTGGGATAATGCCAGTCCACAGACCACTCCTTGGGTGCTGAGCTCGGGAGTGCTGAATGCTTGTAGAGAAGTGGCTAGAGAGTAGGAAGGCGCAAAATCAACAAGGTTCAACACTACCTAATGGAGTTCAGACTTGATCCTGCAGGGGATAAGCAGCCATTAAAGGACCCAGGGGGAGTGAGATAAATAAATTTCCATTTCTCGAGGGCTTGTAGATGTGATGTAGACAACAAAGCCTGAGAAGACAGGAGGCGGAGGAAGCAGGGAGGGATGGGGGGGGGGGTGGTGCAGAACAACAGCCTCCACCCCCCGATGTCCTCTTGCGCATCCCCAGAACCTGTGCATATGTCACATTATATGATGAAAGGGACTTTGCAGTTATTAAGTTAAGGGCTTTCAGATGGAAAGATTATCCTGGATTAACCAGGCAGGCCCAACGTAATCACAGGAATCCTTGCAAGTGGAGAACCCTTCCCAGCCACAGGGAGACGGGATTACAGAAGAATACACAACACTGTGTGTGTTGTGTGTCAGATACGCAACACTGGTGACCCTGAAGGTGCAGGAAGAGGCTTAAGCCAAGACATGCAGGTGGCCTCCAGGAACTGGAAAAGGCGAGGAAGTGGGCTCTCCCCTATAGCCTCCAAACGGAGGCTTGATTTCAACCAGGACACCCATCTGACTTGAACTCTATAACTGTGAGATAGTACATTTTTGCGTTTTTGGTTTGGTTGCTTTTAGTCTATTTTTGGCAGGGGTGCGGGGGCAGCTGTACATAGGGCTTGTGGTACCTTTGTTCTCTGACCAGGGATCAAATTTCTGCCCTTGCAATGGAAGCATGGAGTCCTAACCACTGGACCACCAGGGGATGCCTGCATTTGTGTTCTTTCAAGCCACAAAGCTCATGGTAATTTGTTACAGGTGAAAAAAAAAAAAAAAAAAAAAGGATATAGGAAGCCACTGGGATATTCAGGTGAACAATGATGAGAGCCTCATTGAAGAGAAAGTATTAGTCTCTCAGTCATGTCTGACGAGTCTTTGAGGCCCCAGGGACTGTGGCCCGCCACACTCCTCTCTCCTTGGAATTCTCCAGGCAAGAGTACTAGAGTGGGAGGCCACTCCCTTCTCCAGTGGGTCTTCCCCTTCCAGGGATTGAACCCGGGTCTCCTGCACTGCAGGTGGTTTCTTTACTGTCTGAGACACCAGGGAAGATCTCACTGAAGAGAGAGGGCAGCACAAAAGGAGAGACCTGGTTTGAAAGATTATTGCGACGATAGAGATGGAGGGTCATGGTTACCAGCCGGGTGTGTGGGTGGGGATGGGTGGTGAGGAGAGGCAGGAGTCAAAGGAAGTTTTCAGGTCTCTCTCTCGGACAAAGGGGTCTGTTGGTCAAAAGGAAGGAAAGAAGTGAGTGTGAGTCTGAGTGTGAGAGAATGTGTAAGTGTGCACGCAAGTGTGTGAGTTGAAGGCACGTGAGAGATCCCAGAAAAAGGAAGGAGTCTCCCTTAATACCACTGGGCTGTTTCCTTGCAGTTCCATTTTTACTGAGAAACTGGCTAATCTTAACTCTCAAGCTTTCCCTCCTGAGAACAGCATGGCCAACATAAACAGCTGCTCTGCCTGTCAGTTATATTTTTCAGTTTAAATTAATGAACTGCCATTCTAGTCCTACACCAGGCTCCCCTGAGTTTAACCAGGGCAAAACAATTCCCCGGGGGTCACTGTCTCCCGGATAAGTGGACAGAATTGAGTTTTGTACCCCTGCAAAGCGGAGGATCAAGGAGACCTTGAACCGTGGTTACCCCAGTTTCACCTCCTTCCTGGGCACAGCGTCCCCACGTCCCCGGCTGGAAGGGGTCGGAGAAAGGGAGGGAGACATGGAGGAGGCTGCCCAGTGCTGTACCCCAGGCCAAGTCAACTAGGAATCATGAAGTTTTGTGCTTGCAACTTCACTGCTATTTATAGTTCACACTCTGAGATTCCTTCACATATGCTTATCCGGGACCCAGCCTCCAGAGGGGACATGCCCCATTTGGATCCCCTGCATGGTCGCAAATGCAAGCCAGGCAAGCTGTTCTGGGAAACTCTGAGGGGGTGGAGGTAACTCTGGCTGAGTTGATCTAGAGGTGGCTGGATCCATCCTAAAGACATCATGGGAAAGCCAAGAAAATAACTTCAGGGCAGGTTACTGCTCTGAGTGATTTCTTTAGCTGTGCCTAATTTGCCAAGTGACCTCTTCTGAGTAAAAGGAGAGCAAAGATCCTTTTTCATTCCCAACGCTAAGGGCTGGGACTGTTGATATCAACCCACTGCTCAGATGAGGAAATTAAGGCTCTTGGAAGTTAAAGTTCTTATCTAGTATTTTGTCAATCAAACATCGGAGCCAGGACTTAACTTGTCTTTTGATGACAAAAATCTCTATCCTTTGTACTCTGACTGAGGATTCTGTCCCCTCTGGGGAGGGACACCCCACACCCCTCACTCCCCACAGGCCTTTGTCGATCAGTGGTAGTCTGATGATTCTCCTGCCTGGAGCTGCCCAGAACACTTAGGGCTGTGACTGGGGCACCCAGATCACCCAACAGTGACACAATCCTCCCACCAGTAAGTCTTCCTGATCCCCTACCTGTGTTTCCAGCCCTTGGCCAGGTGTTGTGGAAGATAGTATAGGAGGTATATGTGGAAGATGGTACAGCCATAGGAGGATGGTAGCTCCTCTTCTCTAAAAGTTTATAAAGCAACAGTGCTTAGATCGTGGAGTGCTCAAACCACAGAACTGGAGTGGGGTTCAGAGTTGCTGAACCGGGTCTGTTGGACATTAGGATCTGAGTCCCTGCCCCCAGTGCAAGACTGTTTCCCAGTAACATTGCCTTTCACTCCAGACAAGGAAACTGACACTCAGTGAGATGAAGTCATACTTCCAAGCCCATGGCCTGTGGCCTCTGGCAGCCTCCAACTCTAGCTAACATTTCCTCTTGCCAGGCCTCCCTGCTCTCACTTCCACACTCTACTTGTAACACTGCTGTTACTCAGCATAGTAGTTCATTTGTTTAAAATAATGCTTCATTATGTCACAGTCATGACCACCAGTCAATGAAAAAATTGTGTGAATATGCAATCATCTCTTTTCCTATGGCCTCTACCTCATGACTCTTCTTAAAAGGGTATGGAATCTCCTTTAACCTTGCTAAAGGAGAGGACTCCTGGGTGATATCTGGCAGGTCACTGTACCACCCTGCTCCCAGTATCCACCAAAGAGAGCAGATGCTCTGCCTCCACTTCACGCTCAGCCTCCCCCACTTAACCCCATCATCACCCACCCCACCCACTCAAAAATTGTGCTACTTACATATTCTTTAATGTCCTTTGACTTCACAGCCTTGTAGGAATAATATGCAGGGTAAAGGGTGCCAAATATTAGCCTGGGGGGAAGAGAAAGAGGGAAAAAGTGAGAAATGTGATTTTCATTCATTCTGTTTGATGGAAAACGTTGTCTTCAGTGCCAGAGCATCCTCTGAGCTACAGAACATGCTTCTGTGGGGCTTGGGTTGTTTTTCTGAAGGCCCTGAAGCTTTTCTGCTCATGGCTGGGACATGCTTAGGAACCTCTATGACCTGTTACAACTCTACACCCACCCTCCCTCCATCGGTCATTTGGCAACACATTTGGGGTCATGGAAGCCAAAAATGGGAGGAATCAGGGCTCTGGAGGTGGGAAACCAAGCTGAGCAGCCAAGACCCCTGAAATTAAAGGCTCAGTGGATTTCCCTGGTGGTCCAGTGGATAAGAATCCACCTGCCAATGCAGGGGACACAGATTCCATCCCTGGTCTGAGAAGATCCCACCTGCCGTGGAGCAACCACGCCTGCGCACTGAAACTTGTGAAGCCTGTGTACCTAGAGCCTGTGCTCCGAAGCAAGAGACGCCACCACAAAGAGAAACCCACGCCCCGCAAGGAGGAGCGGCCCCCACTCTGCAACTAGGAAAGAGTCCTTGCAGCCACGAAGATGGAGCACAGCCAAAGCTACAAATGAATAATTATACCGATGTTTTTAAAAGGCCCGATGTTCCTCCCTGCTGCTGGTCCCCATCAGATGCTCTCTTAAGCCCACCTACACCTTGGGCTTCCTTTTCTACCAAAACCACACCACTCCAAGTTTCTTCAAATTTCACTCCCTTCAGATTGGATTTCAGCATCCTGCAGTCAGAATCAGCTGTTCAGTTTGTAAATCCAATCGAACCAACCCTTCCTCCCACCAGACAGCTAAATCCCCACCTTGCATTAACCTGGTCCCGCTGCTCTGAAGATGTAGAAGCAAAAATAATGACACCAGTGTGACTGTTTGGGCTTCAGCTCTCACTGAGTCATCACACCTGGGGCCATGCACCAGGTCATTAAATAATCACTCTGCATAACATAGCTTCACTTGCCCTCATTCTCTCTACTTTGTCCCTTCCCCACCCCCAACAGCCGAGTCTTTGCCTGTTCTGTTCTTTCCTTCTGGAATCTCTGCATCACACCCCCCCACCTCCTTCTTTGTCAGGTTGGTGCCTATTCACTCATAAGATGCCAGCTCCATATGACCTCTTCCTGGAAGCCTTCCCTGAACTCTCCCCCTAAGTTAAATCTTCCCACTACACTCTCAAAGCATGATGTACAATTTGATCAGGGCATGTGATGTTTTGATTGACAGAATCCCCCAACTGGCCTCTAAGTGCCTCAGGGCACAGAATGGATCTGTTTTGTTCAACAGTGTATTTCCAGCACCTACCACATAGGAGACTCAGTAGATACCTTAATAATTATTATTTTAATTTTATTCATTTATTTATTTTTGGCTGTGCTGGGTCTTCATTGCTGGGCATAGGCTTTTTCTAGTTGTGGTGAGTGGGGGCTACACTCTAGTTGTGGTGCTTGGACTTCTCATTGTGGTGGCTTCTCTTGCTGTGGAGCGCAGGCTCTAGGGCATGCGGGCTTCAGTAGTTGCAGCTTGCAGGCTCCAGAGCACAGGCTCAGTAGCTATGGTGCTTAGTTGCCCTGTGGCATGTGGAATCTTCCCAGACCAGGGATTGAACTCATGTCCCCTGCATTGGCAGGTGGATTCTTAACCACTGGACCACCAGGGAAGTCCCCTCAATAGATATTTTTAAATGAATGAATTGACAGGATGCTGGAGCTGAAAGGGTTTCATCCTTTCACCCGACAGGTGAAGTCACCTCTACGTGTCAATTCAGGTGCCAGCTGTTGTACCATCCTGGCTCTGTCCCCACAAGGGCCAGCAACTCATGTGACAACCCTATGGACAGGGCCATGCAAGGGGACACCACACTCAGGAAGCCGAAAGCCATGGCTAGTTCACCGGGGGGTAGGGGTGGGGGGTTGGTTATACAGAGGACTCCCATCAGATGCTATTTATCAAGCAGGGCTTAGTTTTACGATAAACTGTGGCAGGTAATACGTTAACAGTCCACATTCATCATGTTTCCATGGAAAAACAGAAAGCTAACTGAACCAAGTCTGTTTCTGGTTCTGAATGGGAAGGGGAAAGGATTTTGTAACCTTGACTCACACAGGCCCTGCACTAAATGCTCTGCAGACGTGAGCTCAGACAGCCTTGGTAACAAGAACCTCGTCCATAGACACGGCACCAAGGCTGGAGCGGCTAGTCCGAGCTTGCCTAGTTCCATGACCAGTAAGGGATAAAGGAGGGCAAGACAGACTGGCCTCCTCTGTGCCTGACTCCTTACCAACACTGTCTACCGCCTTGGAGAGCAAGGCCACGCCCTGGGAAGGCTGAAATTGTATCTAAGGAGCTAGATAAGACAGCCAAAGGGACAAAAACATAGTCTGAAAGAAAACAAGAAAATTCAAAAAGAGAGGGTGACGTCCACCGATTGTCCGGTGGCTAAGACTCTCCGCTTTAATGCAGGGGTTGTTTGGTCATTCAGTCATGTCTGACTCTTTGCAACCCTATGGACTGCAGCATGCCAGGCTTCCCTGTCCTTTACCATCTCCTGAAGTTTGCTCAAACTCATGTCCATTGAGTCCAATGCAGGGGGCCCAGGTTCAGTTCCTGGTCAGGGATCTCACATACCGCAACCAAGAGTTCAAATGCCTCCACTAAAAAAGAATCCTGCATGCCACGGTGAAGATCCAAGATCCTGCGTGTTGCAACTAAGACCTGGTGCAGCCAAATATAATGTCAAAAAATTAATTAAAAAAAAAAAAAAGATGGCCACAGTGCCAAAGACACAGGCAGCCCAAGGAAGTCCACTGGGATCTGTCACAAGTCAGCTCAGAGGAGGAGGTTTCCCCAACATACCACCCCCACCCCACACCCTGGCCACTAGCCCCACTTTGCCCCTAAGCAATATTCTCAGATACTCAGGAGAATCTCCCTTTGTCCATGAGACCTTTCCTGACCTCAGCATCCCCTGAAGATTAGGTTCCTCTTCTGTTCTTCACTGCCACACCCTGGATGGTCTCCTTTCTTAGCTCTGATCCATATCACTTGCATCAGTTTTTTCCATGTCTCTCTCTCCCACAAGACAAGTTCTACAAAGTTGACTTGATGTTGTCTGCTTATGAGTCTAACCCACACCCCTTGGGCAGAGGAAGTGCTTGGTAAATATGTGTTTCCTCTGGGAAGTTTCAGAAAGTGGTGAAGCAAGGGTCAGAGCCATCCAAGGGATGTTCATGACTTTGAGGCTGAGGTCTCAGTAGCGAGGAGATGCTGGACAGCACCAGGCTGCTTCAGCAAAGCCTCCAGCACAAGGTCACGGGCCCCAGAGAAACAAACACACCCTCCTTTGGCACAGAGGCCCTGGTCAATAGTCACGTCTGCCAGGACACAGGAGCCTGCAATGCTGCAGTCCATGGGGTCGCCAAGAGTCAGATGCGACTGAACAACAAGCAAGGCTGAACAACAGCAACGGCCAGGAGGGTGTCCAGCCCCTGCCTTGGGGCAGCGTGTGAGCAGCAGGAGACACAGGTGGAAAGTGCATCTTGACCTGACAGCCCATGGATCAGGTCTTCTGTGAACCCCAAAGGCCAGCGACACCCCCTGAGTGGACATAGAGGTGGAAAGCCTCATGAGGGCCAAGACAAAGGAGGCCTGTGCTCCGTCTGCCTGGGGGACTCAGGTGTGAATGGCTGCCAGCATCCCCCAACCTGGTTCCCATTTGACAGCACAGGGACAGCAAGACAAAAGTGCCTGTGCTTTCCAGTCTCCAAAAGCTCAGAAACACCGGCATGTAAGGGACTAGACCCAGTATTTCACTGCCCAGAGGAGGGAGAATGGAATGAAAAGGGCAAGCTCTCCTAAATCTATTTTGGATAAAAAAATAAATGAAGCAGGTCCATGCCAAAGGGGTTTGGGATTGATGTCCATTCAGAGCAAGTCCCCCTGGCCAGGCCCTTCTCTTTCCCCACCTCCCTCAGCTCCAGACCTAACCCTAACCTCCTGGCCAGCGGCTGTTCCCCACTGAGTCACGCTTGCAGGCTTACAACGTGTCATTTCCTGGGACTTCCCTGGTAATAAGTGGGTAACAGGCAGGAAGGCCAGGGGTCTCCAAGGGGAGGAAATAGGCTGCAAGTGTCAGACATTTTTTATCTCTCTCTTAAGCGGCAGGAGGAAACAAACAAGCGTTAGATATTTTTCCCCTTCTCTATACAAATTTTAAAAAGGTTTCTCTTAAAATTCTGTGTTGCCATAATGACACCTGGTTCTACCTGAACTTAACTTTTCTCAAACCTTGAGCTAACCAATGCACTTTTCTTACGGAAATGTTTGTCTTAAGCTATGTTAATGAGCTATGTATTTACCCTAGACACTGTCTTTCAAACCTGTATATTTAACGCATACATTGTTCTCCTAATCTATGTTAATGAAACTATATATTTACTTGGAAACCTGCCTTTCCTCAAGATTCAAGTCAATAATTTTATGGCCCAGGATAACTCACCTAGTGCCAATGTTATCTCAAAATGAATGTTGTGGGTGAGGGGCCTGGTGCCACTCTGAGTTTTGAGACTTCTCCTTTCTATAATTAACAGCTTGCCAGTAGCTATATAACATCCGGCTAAAGACTAGCAGGGGGCACTCTTTCTACCCCCTTCTGATGTCTATGTCAGAAGCTTTCTCTATCTCTTTTATAGTTTAATAAAACTTTATTATACAAAAGCTCTGAGCGATCAAGCCTTGTCTTCGTCACTGGCCCCGGACTGAATTCTTCTCTTCCGGAGGCCAAGAAGCGTCTTTCATGGCTCAGCAACAACCTTTCAGTAGGCCAGTGGCTAAGATTTCATGCTCTCATAGCAGGGGGCCCAGGTTCTATCCACAGTCAGGGAACTAGATCCCACATGCCATAACTAAAGAGTTTGCATGCTGCAACTAAAGATGGAAGATCCTGCATGTCACAAC